GAATCCACCGTGTATAGGTTAGCGTATCACCGAAAAGGCGAGTGTGAAATCAGCCACATTCTAGTCTTCACTTTCCTCATCCAAATGGACCACGACATTCGGCGATTCTATTAATCTCCTCCGAACGGTGACTGCGGTCTTGTAGAATTTATATAAACCAAAGAGAAGACTTTGATCAAAAATTATTATTATCTTATTTCCTTGTACCTGATAATGGAAACCCGCTCGAGAAAGATAATCAACAAGTGTAAAGACATGAGAGAAGACCTTTTAAAGCAGAAACATGTTGTAACTATATATATACACTTTCACGAACATTTTCATTTTTTACATAACTATAAAGTTTTCAAAGCTATATTACTTTATTGGATTTTTTTTACCTTTTTTCCCTCCTTTCATAGTATATGGTTGAATTTACATATTTATTTGTACTAACTCCTAAATCGTGGAGCTATCGCAATTTAAAATAACACCCATTAAGACCATCGGTCTTATAAAGATTCACCACAAGCAGAAAAGAAGCATAGATGGAGCTCCAGTACTACAGGTAGCGCAGCACCCAACAACAGCCTTCAAGTCCGACCATATCCAATGGCCACACATTCATTCGTGCATCTTTAAAGATATTTACAACAACACAGCTTTATTAAGACCACCGGTCTTATACAGATTCACCGCAGGAAGAAAGGAAGCATAGATGGAGATCCAGTACTCCAGGTAGCGCAGCACCCAACAACAGCCTCCAGGTCCGACCATGTCCAATGGCCACACATTTCTTCGTGCATCTTTCAATATATTTACAACAACAACACAGCTTTATTAAGACCACCGGTCTTATACAGATTCACCACAAGAAGAAAGGAAGCATAGATGGAGCTCCTATACTCCAGGCAGCGCAGCACCCAACCACACCCTACAAGTCCGACCATGTCCAGTGGCCACACGTTCCTTATTTATTTGTTCTACCTATTCTATCAATCTTTTCACACTTTGTATAATAGATTTAGTATAATACAAGGTGGGATCAATAAATAATGTGAATTATAATTTATTTAAAAAATAAGAACGATATTAAAAATTAGGACTTGATTTATTCAAAATAATCACCTTGGCTTTCTATATACATCGTCTCCATCGTTCTGGGAACTTGTAAATATCCTCTTTATAGGCACTCTTAGGAAGCGTGTGAAAAGAATCTTGCACCACTTTCTGGACATCTTCATCCGAGTCAAATCGCTTTTCCTTTAACTCCTTCTTTAGTAGTCCAAAAAGAAAATAGTCAGATGGGGCTAGGTCTGGACTATATGCAGGATGTTCTAAAACTTCAAAACCTAATTTAATGATTGTAGATACAGTTTTACATGATGTATGCGGCCTTGCATTATCATGAAGGAAGAGAACACCTTTACTAAGCTTCCCTCTTCTTTTGTTTCTTATACCGGGCTTTAGCTTATTTACAAGAATGTCACAATAAAGGTCGCTGTTCATACGTTGCCTTGAGGATAAAAAATCAAGACAGATTGGTCCATCAACATCCCAAAAAATTGTTAACAGAACTTTACCGGCCGAACGTTGAGACCTGAGGAACATGTAATTCGTCCATTTTTGAACTCGTTAACCCATTTATAATTTTTTTTTTTTAGACAAACAAGACTCACCAAAGATATTTTTCATTCTTTGGCATATTTGAGATGTTTGAATACCTTCTGCATTCAAGAAACGAATAACTGCGCGTTGATCAAGCGTGGTGCAATCCTTCAAGGGAGCTTCCATTTTAGTTTATTTATAAGTCTCGCGCCGCGCGTGGGAAAAAAGAACAGAACACCTTAAATAGTCTCTCGATGTTATATTTTACTATTCTGTGGTGTAAATTATTTTTGCTTTTTTAATTTTTAAGAAATAAGATAATTCACCTTATTTATTGATCCCCCTTTGTAGCTTAGAATAAATTTAGAATTAGGTAAAATAGAAACATTTTTGTCTGAATTTGTCAAAACTGGCATTGTGGCCTATTCTTTTACTACTCTTAGTAAAGTATTTTACAAGGGTGATGAACATAATGCGTATGTACGAGGTGTGTTCAAAAAGTATCGAATTTTTGAATTTTCGCGGGTTACGTATATTCGAATTTCGATCATTTTGTGGCTTTATGTTGGTACTCATGTCTCTCACTTATGCCGACAAGCTCGGCCATTTTGAATGTTCACTTAATTGTTGACAGCTGCTTTGCTTGCAGGTGTTTTGGATCGTCTTCGATTTTTACCTATTAAAAAAATGGATCAAAGAACCTGTATCAAATTTTGTTTGAAAAACGAAATTAAGTGCGCGGATGCATTCCGAATCTTGACTGTGGCAAACGGAGAAGCTACCTTGGACCGAAGCAACGTTTATCGGTGGTACAAAATGTTCTCAGAAGGCCGAGAAGATGTGAACGACGAAGAGCGTGCACTTCAACAACAGACGAAAAATTTAATGAAGTGGAGAAAATGATATTGGCCAATCGTCGAATCACCGTTAGAGAAGTTGCTGAGGACCTAAACATATCGATTGGCTCGTGCCATTCGATTTTTATCAATGATTTGGGCATGAGATGGGTCGCCGCGAAATTCGTACCAAAATTGCTCAATTGCGACCATAAACAGCATCGCATGAACATTGCTAAAGAGATGTTGGACTCTGTCCGCGACGACCCAAATTTGCTCCAGAGGGTCATAACTGGTGACGAAGCGTGGGTTTATGGTTATGACGTGGAAACCAAAGCTCAATCATCTCAATGGAAGCTGCCGCGCGAACCAAGACCGAAAAAAGCGCGCCAAGTTCGGTCGAATGTGAAAGTTTTGCTGACAGTTTTCTTCGATTGCAGGGGCGTGGTGCATAATGAGTTCTTGCCACAGGGTAGAACGGTCAATAAGAAATATTGCGCGAAGCAATCCGCTAGAAACGCCTGGATTTGTGGAAGAACAAAAATAGGCTTTTGCACCACGATAACGCCCCTGCTCACACATCGTTGCTTGTGCGCGACTTTTTGGCCAAAAACAACACACTAATGATGCCGCAGCCACCGTTTTCCCCAGATCTGGCCCCCTGTGACTTTTTCTTGTTCCCTAAACTGAAGAGGCCCATGAAAGGACGACGTTACGCTACGCTTGACGAGATAAAGACGGCATCGAGGGAGGAGCTGAAAAGAATTTTTTTTAAATGATTTTTTGAAGTGCTTCTAAGATTAGAAAAACCGTTGGCACAAGTGTATAATATCTAATGGGGATTACTTTGAAGGGGACAAAATAGGTATTCATGAATAAATAAATAATTTTTGAAAAAACACAAAAGTCGCGAAACCTTTTGAACACGCCTCGTATATGTTATAATTTGCATAATATCCAAGATGTATAATTTCGCCAAAATAAGTATGTAAATATGTTAAGCTTGTGTTAAAATATAAATATGCAAATTCATCCATCTATAAAACTGTACAAAAATAAACGTTGCAGACATCGCGGGCGAATGCTACGGCACGTTGCGGGTGCGCTGCTCACTTGGCTGGAACTAATTCTTGAAGATTGCGTGCATAACGGTTGCACCCTTCCATTCGATCACGACATATATATATTAAAATATACAAGGATCAGAGTCATCAATTCTGTCATCGTTTGCTTTTGTGAATGTATGTAAATAATGGATTTCATATTTTTTATTAATTTTTGTTCTGGCCTTTATTTCTTTAAATCTCTTTTTTAAAATCGTTTAAAATGCAGTCGCAATCATTAGTGAACACATATGTTTTCTTAATATTTCCATATGCTCTTTTATTTTTTTTATACAGAAAAATATTTACATGCCAGTATTTTAGATTAATTTTTTTTTATAAGCCTTTTTTTTTAAATTCTTACTGAGAAGATGGGCATCGCAGTCAGGATTCTTTACAGTCAGTCACTCAACTCAGGCAATTTCAAAGGTTAATGGGGGTTTGGTGGAAAAGCTGCCGTCTATTTAAACTATATTAATTTTGAAACAACTAAATGGATTGCAAAAAATAATTAAATCAAATACCTAAACACTAATATAATACAATTTTTGCCATTACACACTTTTTTCCTGTAGTTTATGTGTTTCTTCTGTATTGCTATTCTATGGCACTTCTACTATTTATTATGGATGTACTTTCAGTATGAAGGATACTTCACTCGGGGGATTTCTCGGGCGAAGCCGGGTCATTCTTCTAGTGTTATATAAAGGTATTATTTAAAATTTTATTTTAAATATATTTCATAGATTCAAATACTCTGTTAAGTCGACCGTCAGAGGTCACGCTTTCTGTTTATATAACCATTTGTTGTTTCCCGATGGCCGGCTCAGATATTTTTGTAAATTATGTAAATAAGTTTTATTTTTTTTTAAATTCTCACGCCTTAATTCGGGCAATATTTTTATCAAATTATGTTTTTTATATATATTCCATAAGCTCAATTAAAGATATTTCAAATCTTCACTACTTTTATTATTATACTTTCAAGATTTTAACTACGACTGAATTACCATAGTATAATCCTTAAGATAAGCAAAAATCAACAGAAATCTCATTTTTATAAAATATATAGTCACTTTCTTCATAGAATCATGTAAGTATTTTCATCTTACATTTCACTTTTAAACCAATTATATGATTGTATTTATTAATATTATTATGATAATTTAGTAATATATACATTGTTCCTATCACCATTCTGGAAATATCTTCATTTACGGGGCTGCTAACCAGAATAGATTATTTTTGAGCCCCAGTATATAAAGTATGTGTGTACACTGTTTCATAGCTTTCTAAGCTTTTTTTAAAACGGAATATCAATAAGGTGTGTTATTTTTAACAAAGCGATTTTACATACATGAGCACATTCCATGCGCAAGACTTGTGATTATTGGAAGAACTAGGTAGTGAATTCCCTTATTGAACCCTGAACCAAGCATAAACTCATGGACATAACTTAAGAGAAAAACGATATAGCCTACAGTACCCGGTGTTCCCAGGTGGTCACCCTCCCAAATACTGACCAGGCCCAACATTGCTTAACTTGGGTGATCGGACGAGAACCGGTGTTTTCAATTTAGTATGGCTGTAGGTAAAACTACGTCGCTCGGGAATCAAACCCGGATTGCAAGAATGGGAATTCTGCATGATATCATTACACCAGCGACGCACGAAAATCACTGTTCCTTCAGTTATCTTGCTAATAAACCTCATCAAAAACTATAAATGCCGGCCAGGCAGCCTCTATCTTTACCATAAAATAATACAATTATATAATACAAATAATAAATAAAGAAGATATATTTTTATTAGATTGAGTGTATAAAAGTCACAATTTATAATAGCGCTAATATTTAAATGCATAATTTGCATAAATAGGAACACCTATGTAAATAGGTTTATTGCATCCGTGTCTTGAGAGAGAAGTGTTTGAGTGGGTTGACATGGGACGTGTCCAGACTGGTCTAGAAACCTGCAGACGACTACCTGCCTTCCACTGGGCCCCTCCAAACCTGTCTGCCTTATTACTTGCCCCAAACGATTCTTTACAACTTTCGTCTGCTACGGGTATAACGACTTTTTCATCTAACATTCATTCATATCTCCTTACATTACACATTCAAATATTTAATTAAAAAGGCATATATTGGATCAAAATATCATTTATTTTACCAATATTTCAGTTGGTTGAACGCCAACCTTTATCAAGGTGTTATAACATATTTAATTTGTAAACGACACTTGAAGTTACACCGCATGAGTTTCTTTTCAATGAAAAATCTAAATTTAATTTCAAGGTGAAATATTGACTATTTCTAACCTTTTTGGATGAGGTATGAAAGGGTGAATTATGAAGAGTAATGATGAACGGAAAATAAAAGTGTCCAGGGATGGGAATCGAACCCACAATGTTCCGCTTACCGGGCAGATGCCATGTCCACTAGGCTACTCTAGGTTTTAATTTGTGTCAACAACAAACTCAGCGCCACATCTTTTGTTGTTGACACACTTTAAAATGTTATAACACCTTGATAAAGGTTGGCGTTCAGCCAACTGAAATATTGGTAAAATAAATTATATTTTGATCCAATCTCAATCTTTTTAATTAAAGATTTATTTATGGATTGCTCTATTTTCAAAACATTCAAATAGAGAATTATTATTTAGTTAGTTCGAAAATCCTTTTCTTTTGCGTTTAAGAATACAAGTATTAACTTGGCATCAAAGTGTATAAGAGTAGGGCATTTATATAATGGTCACATTATAAAGGAAATCCTGAACTAAATTCTTTGACAACCGAATTATTTATACAAAAGCCTTCGAACAGAGCATAATGAAAAACAAATGGTTGTGACAATCAACAATAGGAGACTGTTGAAGAACAAGGTGTTAAAAGTGCCTGCAGACAGCAAAGTAAACTTATGTTTGAATGGGTCGTTTGTGTATAAAAACTGCCCATTCACTAGATATTTTCAGTTCTTGGCTATAACAACAACTCCGCCTTTGCCGGTCCCAAGCCCAGATAAAAAAGGAAGAGGGGGAGCAGTAACAAGCTCACTAAAAAACCTGGGTTCAGCTGGCCCGGCTGATAGTACCCTGTAAGGGCTCCTAATCCAGGGATACAGAATGAACAGCGTTTGTACTCCTTGTTAGGAGCGGCTGCACATGGCGTCTGTTCCTCATGTCAGAGGCAGCCATTTCTTTTGGAGCAAAGTCGGCCTGCCACTGAGTAGTGCTCCCAGTCTTAATGACAAAGGCAGACGCATACTACTTCACCCAGTCATGATGGTTGTCAAGCTTTACAAGCTTGATACCTTAATATGATTGAGTGGAGATAAGAAAGAAGAAGAAGAAGTTCTTGGCTGTAAAGATAGATCAGTGTATAAGAGCAGTTTGAACAAAATATTAAGTAAAAACTGTTGAAATAGTATTAAGATTTGCAAAAGTTATATCGATTGCAATATTAAGTCGAAACAGAATATTCACATTTTTTTTACAAATAGAACATATCATTCATATTTTTAAAATATCGTCTGAATGTAAAACTTTATTTTAAACTACAAAATGGGCATAAGATACTGCAACTCTTTTATTAATTTATTAAAGTAGCTTTGTTGAATAAGAACTTGCCCGGAAGTTACTTTAAACATCAATATATAAAGTTGGGGTGTCTTATGGCTTTTTTTGTAATTTGACGAAATCCTCAAATCTGTGTTAATGAATATCTTTTAAAACTTTCACATTTGTTGTTAGAAACATCTATCCACCCGTTATTTCTTCATTCGTTACTATTTCTTTGTTTTCCATCATATTTTGTTGTGCAAGTTAATGTAATTCACAAATATTTTTACATTTATAAATTAACTTTTAAATTTTCTCACATATGTATATATTTTGAATATAGAGTAATCCATAATACATTTATATTTTTAAAATAAGGCCTATTTTGGATTTTAATACGATTATTTATTAGTCCGATATTTCGATGGATCAATCTTCCATCTTTTATGCTTTTAAAGCTGCGTGCTTCACGGCAAAACACCTCGTAAAAGATGGAAGATTGATCCATCGAAATATCGGATTAATAAATAATCGTATTAAAATCCGAAATAGGCCTTATTTTAAAAATATGTATATATCTAAATAGACAAGGGTCGCCTCTCCAGTCAAAATAGACGTCTAAAACCAGACGCCATCTACTGACCGTCGCCGCAACTAGCGGCCTCGGGTCGGTGACAAAGCCACGACATATTTTGACGGGAGAGGCGACCCTTGTCTCTTTAGATCAATTTCCTCCCGGAAAAATTTCCATCTATCTATATATATATATATTTAAAAAATAAGGCCTATTTTGGATTTAAATACGATTATTTATTTACCGATATTTCGATGGATCAATCTTCCATCTTTTACGAGGTGTTTTGCAGTGAAGCACGCAGCAGGTCGCGCGCCCCAGGTGAGCCACTAGACGTCTTCTAAGCTTATTGGGCGATAAACCATCTAATATATACAATCTAAACAGAGTAAATATAATCAAAATAAAAAAGTGATATATGTAAATGACTATTGAAAATTAAGAGATATCGAATTAATTAAACAAATAAAATATCATAAAAATTGAAATAACTGTGAAATAAATATACAAATAGTAGTAATAGATATCCGATTAAAATGGAATAAAATAACCATGTAAATAGCATAATCATCTAAGAGGTTCTAAACTGAGTGATTTTTTTTAAATATAAATGTATTATGGATTGCTCTATATTCAGAATATATATATATATTAAAATCAAAAAAGGCATATCCTGACGAGGCTCACATGAGCATTTCTAGATAGTAGAGTGTCATCTAGTGGAACAGAAATCAACTAAACATTGATTTAGCCTGTTCCCTGATATTTGGCCTACCCAATTTCTTGATAAATCAAGAAAAGTCAACCACAAACGCGTTTCTGGCTGTTGGCCCTTGTCAGCGTGGTACAGACTGTACCTCTACGACCGAAAATATTTTGGTCTCAGAGGTTTCCTGAGAAACCAAGAAATGAGTATTCGAGGCCAAACTTGCGTGTATATATATATTGATGGAAATTTTGCCGGGAGGTTATTGATCTTTAAAGACAAAGGTCACCTCTCCCTTATTTGGCCCAGTCACTTTGCCAGCTAAACATCTCTTTGGCAGATTGTGAGGATTCCATTGGATCCCTTGTGGATCTCATGGAATGAAGTCCGCCCTAGGCTGACGAGGGCCATTAGCCCAAAACCATGGTTTCATTACATTTTAACATTTAACACAAAAACGTTACAATATTTTCTTTAAATATATATTAATATTAAAATGCCAAATTTTTTTTACGTCATTGGAATATTATATTACTAAATTCTCAAATTAAATTTATTATATTTGGAACACATTTTAAGAATTGTTACAATTTATAAATATAATTTCACCCAGAAGCCGGCGAAGGTGGACGCTTCTGAGTTTTCCAAAGCTGGTGTTGTGGCTTTTTCACCGACCTGAGTTCGCTAGTTTGCGGCGACGCTCAATAGATGGCGTCTATTTTGACGGGAGAGGTGACCTCTGTCTTTATATGTGTAAATTTACTCAAACCCTACCTTAAATACCCATTTATTGATATTTCAGGAAACCTCTAGGACCAAATATTTGATTGTAGAAGTACAGAATGCACCGCACTGATGAAGGCAAACAGCCCAAGCGCATACGTGGTTGATTTTTCTTGATTTATCCAAAATTAGGTTAGTCAAATATCAGGGAACAAGTTAAATTTATAACGTTTAGTTTTCTATTGTTCCAATAGATAGCTCTCTGCCATATAAAAATGATCATGTGAGCGATCAGGATATGATTTATTTTTTTGCCATTTATATTGTTACATGTTGTTGCCACTGGGTCATCTACCTTGGATTCTTTCTTCTTATACACCGAGCAGGTTTCTTGCATAATTAAAACATATAAGATGCAAATAAAAGTAAATAAAAAGCAATGTGATATTGTACTGGGATAAGGTACATAAATTAAGAAAAAGGCATCTCCTTATCGTGCAACTGAAAGTTGCTGATGGCTTGCGCCATCTATCGGAATAAATATCAACTATTCTCGTTGATTTCTATTCTGGAATAATTAGAAATCAACGAGAGCCAATTCTGGAAAATTAGAAATCAACCAGAATAGTTGATATTTATTCCGATAGATGGCGCAGGCCATCAGCAACTTTCAGTTGCACGATAAGGAGATGCCTTTTTCATAAATTAAAGTTATTATGTTTATTTATTCGTTTTCTTCCTCATTGTTTGTGATCCTGAGTCTAGGTCTAGCTCTTCTCTCTCCAAAATAAATAATCAATATATACACACACACAAAGCTTTATTAAGACCACCGGTCTTATATAGATTCACCACAGAAAGGAAACATAGATGGAGGTTCTATACTCCAGACAGCGCAGCACCCAACAACAGCTTCCAGGTACGGCGCATGTCTAGTGACCATACGTTCCTTCGTGCATACGTCAAGGTTAGCGTATCACAGAACAGGCTTGATATAAACAATAGCAATGTTACAGAAGGAATGATACCATTGTATATAATCTGTTTAAAATAAAATTAAAATATCATAGAGTATTTTGTATAAATGGAGGGTGCATCAAACATG